CATTTTTAAAATCTCTTTCGGAAATCGGATTACTTTATTCTGAATATGGTTCATTTCTGGAAAAAGTAAAGGAGCTGAATGAATAATGATGCAGGAAAGTCAGATAACAAGATAGTGATGAATTTTCCCTCTAAAAATGTTACCATTCTTTAATTAGTTTTTCATTTCGATGTTCAGAATATTCAACCTTCTACATTCAGAAAAATGATGAATACTTATCTGAAAGTCTATTCGAATATAAAAGTTTAAAAACAAACTAGAGTATACAACTAGAGTATACCCCGAAAAGTTTCTGTGCTAATGAGATTGCTTGTTTCTTCAAATTAGTAAAACAGTAGAAAAAAAACACCGAATTATATTTCAGATTCAACAAAAACGTAAATATAAAATGAGTTGATTTTTCAAAAAAAAACAGTTAACTTCTGAACATGCTTTTGTGAGGATTAACTTTTCATTTTGAATTTGTGAATGATCTGAGTCATTCCCAAATTCATTTTATAAAAAAAATATTTGAACAAAATATAAAGATTCATGATATCAACATTCTCAAAGTCTCATCAGAAACTTACATTATAGTATTTTCTACGGATGTGGAAGGCAGACGTTCTAGATTTTCAGTTCGGGAAATGTAAATGATTTTCTTATTTTCAATTTCTTGCAAATTTATCTGAGTTCAGATAAATTTGCAAGAGGTGAAATTGTGATAAATGATTTCAACTGGAGTGAGTCTCAGAGAGCAAATCTGGTGATTACAGTACCTGAGGCATGATTACGGTGTTGTTTTTGACCAAAACAATTACAAACATCGTGATGTAAAAGCCATGAATTGTTTTTCCACGATACCGGACGTTTTTTTCGTACTGCTTTTCTTCAAGGTATTACTCCTTATTGACCGTACGACCATGCACTACTGATGCACTACGCCACAGTTATCGAGAAAAACAGTGGGTAAAACATTGACATTTGATCGAACTCAGCGTGCTTTTTTGGGTCTTGTCTCTCCTGTGCTCTTCCATTGGGACGATTGGATTTTGGTTAAATAACCATATACCCATGATTCGTCATCAGTTATGGCTCTTGAGCAAATCTGGATCGCCGTGGATGTCATTCAACAATTTTTTAGCGATGCTCATGCGGTTTTTTTGGTCAAAATTCAGCAATTTTCGAAAAAACTTATCTACCACACGCTTCGTGCACGACTTTTCAAAAAAAAATTGAATGACATGGTATGAGCCAACCGATATGTCGATATCCTCAACAATTTCTATAAGTGTGTTTAAACAATTCTCCATAATTTTTTTCACTTTCTCAACATTTTCATCGGTTATAGATGTGCTTGGGCATCTACGGCGAGTGTCGTCATTCTCATTATTTGATTGTCTGTGAAAAGCTTGTATCACCTGTTAACATTTTTCTGGCTCAGAGTACAATCATTGTATGCCATTGTTAATATTTCAATAGTTTTTGTGCACTCTTTTTAATTTTTCACAAAAAATTTTATGCAAATTCATTGATCCATTCTATTCGAAAGCAGAAAATCGACGAACACGCAAAGACGTTAGCGGAAATTTGGGAAGCTAACCTAAAATGCCATCGGAAAACGAATCCACATGTTTCTAGAAATGATATGAAATCTAGAAAGGTTAATGCAGTCAAGCTGCTGGAAAATAATTCCATGAAAATCAAAAAATGAATAGATAAGTACTTTTTGATCATTCCCATGTTGATTTCAATTCAAGAGCCACCGGTAGACAGCTATTTCAGCCTATTGGGCATCATCAGTACCGGGCAGGCGGTCCTCGATTGAAGACAAAATGAGAAAAACCAAGAAAGTACTTAATAAAAATAGCTGCGTAAACGCTTGCGAAACATAAGAGGAACCACCTATTGGTGTGACACCCAAGTCAACTTGCCAAGTTTTTATGTTAGTTATGGTGGTTTGACCAATCAACCGACAACTGCGGTGGCAGAAATTTGGGAAGCTATCCTGAAATGCCATCGAAAAGGAATCTACATGTTTCTAGAAATGATATGAAATCGAGAAAAGTTGATGCAGTCAAGCTGCTGGGAAATAGTGCCATGAATATCAAAATATGAATAGATAAGTACTATTCTGATCATTCCTAGATTGATTTCAATTCAAGAGCCACCGGTAGACACCTGTTTCAGCCTATTGGACATCGTCAGTACCGGACGGCGGTCCTCGATTGAAAACAAAATGTGAATAACCAAGAAAAGTATTTGTGTCTAGCTTGGTGTGACACCCAAGTCAACTTGTCGAGTTTTTATGTCAGTGTTGGTGGTTTGACCAATCAACCGACAACTGTGATAGCAGAAATTTGGGAAGCTATCCTGGCTTTCCAGTATGTCCTTGGTTTTGCCCTCCTTCAGAACTGTTTGGGTGTTCTCTCCATACGATAATAGACTTACTTCAACCCATTACTTTTCATACGAACCATTTTTTTTTTATATAAATTCAGCATATAATCACGAATTCTAAGAGATATTTCAACATGAATACATTTTCCATATATTTATTATGAGTTCGTGTGATATCATATTTCCACTTCGGATTTTGAGACGTTCAGTTATCTGTAGAATCATTCAATTTTTCTATTTCAATATATTTTTTCAATATTCTCAGAATATTTTGGTCCCAGTATTTTTTTTCAATTCATTCATTAATCATTCCTCAGATTTCAAATTGGTTAACACTTTTTTTAGATTATGAAAGTCCGAATATCTAACATTCGTAAAAGTTATCCATTTAATTCATTTCATTCCACCATTTAAATTGACAAAATACTGCCCGGAAAGTTTAATTACCATTTCACACAATAATTTTCGTTTATTGAAGAAGTTATCACGGTTCTGTGCTGATCTCACTAAGCCGATGGATTAACAAATATAAAAAAATACATTTTTTTTATCAAATGAGGAGGGTCAGTGGTGATAACGATTCGGAAAATCAAATTACACTGCGATCATTCTGAATAAACCATGTTCCTTCATTTTTGAGATGTTATAATAAAATGAACTAGCAATCACAAAATCATTTAATTTTTTCAGGTGATATCGCAGCAGATCTTGATGAAAATGTCAACAATGTTTACAGAGATACCACTCCCGACCCACTGGAGACTTATACTGAAGATGTCACCGATCCTGGAGAAAATAGTACACCTGAAGATCTTAGTACATCGGTTACCATTAATGATGAAACATCCCAGAGTGAGAACAATTCAAGTAACGTAACTGGACAGGATGATAGCGGTTCAGTAAATCAACAGACTGGGGCTGAGGATGATCAAGAAAATGCAGATAACAATTCAGACAACCAGTCTACGGGAACAGAAAGTGTACAAAAACAAAATGAAAATGAATATAATGGGGCGGAAGTCCAAGAAAACAATAACAACAATGAAGAAGGTGAGCCCATTGTTGTAGATAATCCGCCTCAAGTTGATGACAAAACGGAAAATTTTGCAGTAAAAGAAATAGACCATGAAACTATTGAAGACCAATCTAGTGATCAGCAGCCTCAGCAAACACAAAATACTGATAATGCTAAGGAAGGACAAAAAAATAAAGCTGGACAAGAAAATAAAGCTGAACGAGAATCCGTGGAAGATAAGCACAGTGATAACAGTTACACAGAAGGAAAAGAAGAAGAAGGTAATAACGAGAAGGATAGAAGTGGAGACAAAAATAAAGACAAAAAATACAACGAAGAAAATAAAAAAAAACAAGATAAGAAAAGTGGCAGTGGAGAACACGATGGAAAAAACAAAAAGGAAATGGAGAAAAAAAAGAAAAGGCAGGATGAATTACGAAAAGAAGAAGAAAAGCGAAAAAATGCAGAAGAGAAATGGCAAGAAAAGCAAAAAAATGCAGTAGAGAAATGGCAAGAAGAGCGAAAAAATGCAGAAGAGAAATGGAAAGAAGAGCAAAAAGATGCAGAAGAGAAATGGCAAAAAAATCGAAAAGATGCAGAACAGAAATGGCAAGAAAAGCAAAAAAATGCAGTAGAGAAATGGCAACAAGAGCGAAAAGATGCAGATGAGAAATGGCAAGAAGAGCCTAAAGATGCAGAAGAGAAATGGCAAAAAAATCTAAAAGATGCAGAACAGAAATGGCATGAAAAGCAAAAAAATGCAGTAGAGAAATGGCAAGAAGAGCGAAAACAAGCAGCAGCGAAATGGCAAGAAAAGCAAAAAGATGCAGAAGAGAAATGGCAAAAAGAGAAGGAGAATGCAGAAGAGGAATGGCAAGAAAAATTGAAGAAGCTTAAAGAGGAGACGAGAAAGAAAGAGAATGAACTGCAGGAAAAACTGCAGGAACAAAAAGAAAAGAGACGATTCGAGGCGAAAAAACAACAGGAGGAAGCAGAGAAAATGAAAAAATGGAATGAAAATATCAAAAGGAATATTATCAAAAAGAAAATAGAAATAAGACAAAAACAACTGGGTGAGATTTAACTCGTTACTTCCTTGAATTGATGGATGTAGCCGTTACTCCGTGGTAGGAAATCAAAATGAAAAAAAATGAAACTTTTATTTGTAACTAAGGTTACTGCAGTTTCGTCCTATAAGGACATTTTCAAACTTATACATCAAACTGAAAATGATTGATTACATTGGCTCTTATCTAATAGAGGTATTGCTTAATTGAGTATGTGAATTTCGTTTACTTGTGACAATGTGAATATGCTTATTTGAAAACCGGTGAGTGAACTAGATCAATTTGATCAATTGCCGGTGCAACCTGTTGAATAATCAAATCGATCTAGTTTACTCACCAGTTGTCAAATAAGCATATCCACATTGTCACAAATAAATAAAATTCAGGTACTCAATTAAGCTAAGTACCTTTATTATCATCTACAGTGGTGTTATATGAGGGCTAATATAATCAATAATTTTTAGTTTGATGTATACGTTTGAAAATGTCCTTATAGGACGAAACTGCAGTAACGATAGTTACAAATAAAAGTGGTAAAAAATAGAGAAAGTTTCAATTGTCTTTCCTTCTGCTATTAATTTTCAATTCATTCATACCTAAAATTGAGGTACCAGCGTATTGATACTTTCCAGAACTTTATTGAATTCATAAAAAAATACTGTAACATTAATAAAAACTGTCGATGAATACTAGCTGTCAACTAGGCTGAAGTATTCTTCGCGGTTGAGTGATACTTCTTTATATTCTACCAAATCCTCCCATCATTTTTTTTGTTGAAGGTATAAATAATATTTTCAAAATTTCATTTTCGAAAACATATACTCTTGAATGGACTGTTACTCACATGTTGTTCTCAAAATGGATTTAGATGATAGACAATGTTTGATCAAAATACGTGTAAAAATTCAGTATACAAACTTCAAACAAATGTTTTGAGACCTCAATGATAAGATCGAGTGAAAAAAATAATGAATGTTTGTCTTTTTTCAGAAATATTAGCGGCAGCTGAAGTATATTCGTGGTATTTTTGTGACCCCCAACTTTGCGAATTACAATGTGTTGACAAAGGTAACCATACAGGATATTGCTACCCCAGAAAAATATGTAATTGTGTCTGAAGTGTAAAATGAAATTCAATTATGACGGGTTTTTATAAAAATATAATTACATGAATATTTATTATAATTTCATAGGTAACAGAAAAAATACATAATAACATTATCAAATGCAAAAAATACTCCTTCATTTGTTAAATGCAATAAGTCATAAAATTGTATATTAAAATGGGAATGCTATCAAATATCTAGTTCTTCTTGTAAATCATTAAACATCCAATTTTACTTCAGATAACAAAAATAAAGATGAAAAACTTCCTGATATCCCATAGCCAGTTACATCATCATATGATCAATGTTGGTAAATAACAAAATGTTAAAGCTATTTTCCGGGTTTTCCGGCCGTGGTCGGCAAGTTTCTGTGCCTGCATCGTAGTTGTGTTCGGAACAACGGGAACAACAACTCGGGCATTGCGACCGTTACCACTTCATCTTTGATGATGTCTACCTCAATAGTAGTCGAAACGTCACGCATTAAATCCCGCAGACCACGGCCAAAACAAACGGAAAATAGCCTTCACGCACGCATCGACCAAAAAAGTTTACATTCTTTGAATAAAAAATAAAATAAGTAAAACGCTTCATCATCGTACGGAAGCGTCACAGATAATTTGTTTATTTGATCCACAATAATTTCGACTATAAAGTCGAAATTTCGACTTTTATCTCGTAATTTCGACTTTTATCTCATAATTTCGACTTTTATCTCATAATTTCGACTTTTGTCTCGTAATTTCGACTTTTATCTCATAATTTCGACTTTCATCTCGTAATTTCGACTTTTATCTCGTAATTTCGACTTTTATCTCGTAATTTCGACTTTTATCTCGTAATTTCGACTTTTATCTCGTAATTTCGACTTTTATCTCGTAATTTCGTCTTTCCTCTCGAAATTTGGACATTCTTTTCAAATCATTTCGACAGTGCTCCAATCTTCTCATAGTGGTATGTTTTTACGAAGAAATATGACAGAAACTGATTTCATTGAATATTCGAAGCCTACTCATTTTTTGATTGAACCTTCGGGAACCATTCTGCTCCAGTTAATTTTTTGCGTCATTAGATCTCTACGATTTTTCGAAACGAGGAGACAAAACCCAAAATACCTAAGAAATGAACATTGTATCTCTTCGAAGAACATACCAAAAGGATTATTTGCTTGCAATTGCAAACTGTGTTTCTACATGACGTTTAAGATATGAATGTGTATAGTATTCTTTCAAAATGTTAATAAATTTCTACTAGAAATTTCGTCGATTGTAGTGAAAAACTGAATTTTAGATAAGTTTTGATAATGAAGTAAGAATATTACTGATCAGATTGATTTACTATGATGAGAAACTAATATTTTGGCCAAAGTCGACTTTATCCTACTCGTGAGGAAGGCATTTACTATTTCAAAAAGGCACTCAATAATATCAATGCATAATTATCAATCTAAAATTTATTCAAATAACATAATTAATTCACTTCTTAGGTTAATGTATAAATCAAGTGTGGCATAAGGATCTAGGGACCTGGCTGTCCGGGGATATGTACACTCCGACGAAAAATGTTGAAAGTGAATGATGGAATCTTGATGAGGTGATCTGTAACTCCATAAAGGGAAGGCATCGCATACAATATACTTATTCTCCCTGCTGGAGCAATAGCATTTCTTTTTTTCCGTAGTCTATGAATATTCATTTCAAAACAAACTTGATCAAGATCACCCTGAAATAAAAATTATAATTGAAAATTCATTGACAACAACTCATCTTTTACTTGTACTGATGGTATGAAACGAAATTGAACTAGAGACTTGTCCGAAAATGATGCCCCACGTTGGGCGCCAAAAATACAACCTTACCAATCGATGACAAGGGTACAAGTCACCTGTCAACTTAACCCGAGACAGGTGGGTATTTGTGAAAAAAAACCCTAGGAAAATAATCATCTGTCAAGAACAAACTTGGACGATATTCCGATATTCTTTACTATTTAATCCCCGTATGGATAGCTATAGGTAGCACATGAATGAACTAATTTCAGCTATCTTCATTGTAAAATATGTACAACAAAATCATCAACAGTTTAATTTAAGGTTGAGGGTTGTGGATTGTTTATCAACAATCACGACGTATCAAGATTTTGAAATGATTTTCAAATATTCGAAATCTATGAAGTTGAGCTTTCTAGTGAATTAAAGTAATTTCCCAAAATTCGAGTGATATTTTCGTATATTATATACAGGAACAGTCCGACTGTTATCCACAGCTTGAAATTTGTCACTGTTTTCAGAGGAACATATTAAAAATAAATTATTGAATCCCCAGCTAATCTCAATTACGCAACCATTCAGAAATGACATAAGGAATATCAATGAAATTATAAATAACAATAACTTAGCACTAAAGAAACGGAGCTAACAAATCTATCAGTATACTGGAATGCAACGGGATAATCCAGAAAAGGAATTGCAACAGGGATGGCTATCAATTGAAGAAATTGGCAAAATGGTTCATAAGCAAGACCATCCTAAGTCATATTGAAACAAACCTTGATGCAGCACAAATAACTCCCTTCACAAACGAACAACACAATACACACAATGGAATAAATAACGAAGCGTCATCTTCCAAATGTATTCAGAACATGCAAAGTAGTATACCAATCAAGGTAAACCAGCAGACATTTTGTGAAAATGGAAAAAGTTGTCTTCATTCTAGACTATCCCAGTTTACACCCCAACTGTACCGTCTTATGAATTGCACCGCTGATCATGGGTACTTAATTCCAATTGCCCAAGAAATTCAAGAAGTCGAAAAAAATACAAACCTTATCAAACAAAATGTAAATAGTGATTTTTTTATGCACGCGAATACTTCAGAGCGAACTGGAGCACGCATAAATTTACCAACTGGGAAGAAAAGTACAACCAAAACACAATGTGCCAATATCAACACTACCCTTTCTTCATTATTACCTAATATCCAATCAGTAAGAAACGAAACTTATGAACTCTTGATTTTTCTTGAATCACAGAATATGCCAGATTTCGTTCTTCTCACTGAACACTGGCTAAGAGAAGACAAACCATGTTATATTTCAAATTATGTCATTGTAGCCAAATATTGCAGAAGTAACTCGGCACATGGTGGCACTATGATTCTGGCGAATGACGAAATACTCAATTATCTCATATTAGTGAACATTGATAAGTATGACTTTCTTTTAGTAGAAAATGAATTCGAATTCTCTTTGGTGCATGGAAAAAAGAATAATATCTATATAAATTGCATTTACCGATCGCCTAATTTATTTCTAAATAAACTTGAAATAATTTTATCAAACCTACCAATCAACTCAAAGATTGTACTCACACGTGACTTTAATATAAATTACTACTTGAATTTCACTAGTTCGGACTTCCATTGTCTACTATATAAAAGGATAAGAATAATTGGTTCCAAGTACAACATTAGAACCTGTTTCAGATCCGGTAACACTATCCGTAGCAGCCTCACGAAAACCAGGCCCCCAAACGCGGACTGCGATTCCAAGAATTGCATTTACCGGATACCCTGTGAGTGCGGAAAATCCTATATTGGTGAATGTTCGCATTGCCGAGCACAAGAAGCACACACAGCGAGGAGAAACCAGCAAATCAGGAATAGCAGACCATGTTTGGACCCATCAACACAACATCGAGTGGTCCCAAGCTGAGATCTTGCACAAAGAGGAACATTGGTTCAGGAGAAAATTTAAGGAAGCCGCATACATGTTGTCCAACAACGTATTCAGCCAGGCCAGCGTAGATATACGAAACATATGGAAACCCATCATCAAACGAAAAATGACCAACTCCCGCCAAAACGGTCATCTCTCACGGAATCAGTGAAGCGGAAAATGGAAAGTAGAGAAAGTGAAAGTATTTCATCGGCCTATAAAATAGTCATCTCTCGGAGGAATCAGTCCAGTCATCACCCGAAGACGATTGTAGATACCAACAATCGAAACGTCGTGAACTAACGTGACTTGGAATCTCTACACTTTTTTATTTTTTTTTTTTATTATTTTCTGTTTTCATTCCTTTAATTTTTATTTATTCAATTATTATATTTTTACTTGTAGGTTATTTCACTATCATTTCATTTCAGGTTTATTGTTGCTTAATATAATTGTTATTTTCAACTATTCTTTTTAATTATTCTTTTTTACTTGTTTCAGGGATTTCAAATCATTTTATATAGTAGACAATGGAAGTCCGAACTAGTGAAATTCATCACGAAACATTGTCAATCACCTTCAAACAAACGATAAATTACTACGATGAAGAGTGTATAGTGAAGCAGGATCTACATAACTTACTGACCTCTCTAAACTTGACTATGCATGTTAGTGAACAGCCACTATCATTGACTATATCTGCTCACATTTGGGAAAACAGAATATTAGCTGTAAGACTGTTCCTGAAGGCCTTTCAGACCAGGAATCTCTTATCTTCATGAATAAAAGTGAATGAAAGAAGTAAATATGGATACGGACAAATATATAGCAAGGCGAACTACGAATCATTCAGAAACCTATGTAATATAACACTATGGGCAAACGTTTTGAACTTTGATGATTCAGTTAACATGTTTCAAAACTACCTGAGATATATATTCGAAAAATGTTTTCCAACGAAAAAGATCAAATTCAAAAATAACGTTAGTTACAAATAAAAGTGGTAAAAAACATAGCAAGTTTCAATTCTCTTTTCTTTACTAAATTCAGTATTCGTTCTACAAAAAAGGGCTGTCGGATACATATGTAGGGCAAAATCACAAGACCACTGCAAACCACTTTTCATCAGTCAGAAAATTCTTACTGTACCTTGTTTATTCCTTCTAGAAACCGTTCGCCTAATTCACAAAAAATACTCCAACTCAGCAGCAAATAATGACAGACGTGTTACGACACAAGAGGAAGGAATTCACTCTTGCCAATCCCAAAATCAGCAATTACAAAATTTTATTTGATAAAATAAATCGCGAATAAAAATCAACACCTGAGCAGTATCTGACACATCCGTTGACTCATCCAATGCTAGAGAAAACCACTCATGATGTCCATTTTTGTCAGACAGTTGAGATGATATATTTTCTGCGATGTCCTGCACCCTCCGAGCCACGGTGTTTGCTGACAAACTGACACTTTTGAATAAATTTACCTTTTCGGGGCATATTTCTTCGGCTACTGAAATCAAGCATCCTTTTATCATTTCTCCATCGGTGAATGGTTTGCCACGTTTTCCGATTTCAAGAGCCACACGAAAGCTAGTGCAAGTTGCAGACTCTTGTTAAGTATTCACTTTGGTAAACAAAGACTGCTGCGATTTGAGTCCGCGTTTCAAAGCTTCAAATTTTTCCTTCCACAAACTTCCTGTATACTTGGGAGTAACTTTGAAGATGTTTCGATTCATAGTGTCGTTTAATGTTATAGTCTTTGAGAACAGCTATGATTTCATTACAAATTAAACATAGCGCCTTATTACTGGACTCAATCACAAAATACTGAAAGTTCTATTTTTCTTGAAACGTTCTGCATTCACTGTCGATTTTTCGCTTCTTTTCCATACTAACAAATCACACATAAAAACAATAAGTCAAATCAAAATATTTTATTGACGGGTGTTACTTTATTTCACAATAGACAGTTTCGCTTCCTTCGCCTTTCCTACGCAGACTAACTAGCAGTTGCGCCGCTAGCCTTTTTATATGCAATTATTACTGCCGAGGTGATCGGAATACACTAGCTAGAACCAGAACTTTCTCGAACCAACGCGGTAATTCCAAATATTTAATTACCCCTAATGCCACCTAGCGGGTAGCTGAAAAAGATAGTACATAGTACCACTACTCGCCACTAGATGTCGTTAAGTGTTACAATATACAATAATAATTGAAATGCAAAAAAAGCGTAATTTTGCTTAGGTCACGCACTTTGCGACTATCCTAGTCTAGAAATATAGTTAAGGGCAGAAATTGGTCCTTGGAACAAACTGAAAAAATCATTATGGCCCGAAGGCTTCAAAGTTTGGAGACCCCTGGTCTAGATCATTAAGATTTCTCAGAAGTGACTTGTAATTTGTAGTATTCAAAGGACCTAGTCAGGTCGAATAGATTACTCATTACGATTTTACCATTGTGCAAATTTGAAAATCATACTGATTTAAAAAAAAACAGGCTGTTACGATGAACTTTTCTGCAACAATGCTCGATAGCTAAAAATTAGATGTAATAGAAATATTGGAATTTCATGAATTGGTACAATGAACCATTGATCGAATTCTTGTGAATTTCTAATGTTTTCAAGTTCATCCTAATCAACTCCAAAATTGCCCAGATTCTGTATTGTTTAATTTTTTTGGTCTGTTTCTTCTAGATATAAACTGGAATAAAATCCTTTCGAAACAACTACTTTCACATAAACATTGAATTACACAAAAAATCACTATTTTCCATTCAGTTTGGACTCCAACTATTCGTTATGAAATTGAAACAGACAGGAATGCTGCATAATATGATATTCGAAAGGTATCAATATAAAATATCACTTACATGGAATACTATCATCTCCAATTGTGTTCTTCGAAGTTTCGGGACAAGACATTTGTCTCAACCCTATCAGCACTGTTTTGAATGATATTTCTTTTCATTTAGTGATGATACAGAAAAAAGGTTAAAAGCTTTTTTCTTGAAAACCCATCTCTCCCAAAAGTATTTCTTTTTCAGTTCATATGAAAGCTTACGACAGACACCACTGTCATAGAAAAAAATCCCTGAATCCTCTAAGCCTTGAATTATCCTAGAGAAAAATTTGTACTCAAATTAAGATTCATTTATCACTTCATCCAAAAAATATTCTGTAAAAAATTTATCTTTTTATATTTTTTTGTATTTTACACAACATTCCAAAGAAAGGAATATTCATTCCTTTGAAATGTTGTGTAAATCAATCTACTGACAGGAGTAGTAATCAATCACATTCTAAATTATTTATTTGATGCTAGCTACTCAATTTCTACGAAATGAAATGGATGTTGAAATAAAAAATTATAACAGGTTCGGCATCCATCAATTTGTTCCAGTAATAAACAATTGACAGATTGAGATTAGATAAAGCTTAAGTGACTGATTATATTTTTTGTTATATTTTCTGATACAAACAATCATTCGATGCATTTGATATGATTCAATTATTCGAAATCAAAATCGAAAATTTTCATAGCCAATAATGATTTTTTAAAAATCATCACAAATTGTATTTCTGTTCGTATTTAGGCCAATATGTTGAATGATTCAATAACTCACTATCCCTGTAAAAATATACAAAGTTCTGCGAAAATACATTGAACATCTCTCCCATAACTGCATGAATGTTTCTTCCACCACACAAATCGAATAATGAAATGAATATGTGTTAGAATCGGCCGATACTTGCTGAAAATCCATAACGTATTCACGAAACACCTTATTATGAAAGAAACTATTGTATAGCGAAACAAGTGTTGCTTTTCGTTAACTTGTTCAGTGAAAATCTCACAATGACGTGTTTCTTGAATAATACTATACTGGAGTATAGACACCCCTGAAGAAGCTATTGTGTAGTGTAATGTGGAAGTGATAAATGCTTTTTCCATTGCGACGTATACGTCTCATTACAATAACTCTAAATTCTGTGACAAATTGAAGAATTAACTGTCTTAAACAAATTTATTCCCAACAATATTTCAATAATCACATACTAATTTATTTATTAAAACACTTAGCAACTAACGCTTAATTAATTTTCACTATTTGAATTTCTTGTTTAGCTTTCTGAACTGAACTGCCCTCTTGGGTCAGGAAGACGGGCTTATATCGGTAACGGTCCTTTCTAGAATTCTGTTGTCGGTTCGGTACTAGAATTTTACCGGCGATTTCCGACTGCATTCTTTCGCGGTGATTTCATGTGTTTGTTCCATGTGCCGGCCGGCAAACTGGTCAGGGGTGGGTTCATATTCGTTATATTGCCCCCTTCTTGAAGATGTTTCGCCCCGAAATGTCATCCTTGGTGTGTGTCGATATCTGCAGGACTCTCCATATCGGAGTTCGATGGAAGTAACACTCCACAGTTTTCATGCTCGGTTATGGAAGATGGTTACCGCACACCAAAATCTTGATGCCGCTGGATCTAAATATCGTTTCCAATATGTTTCTCACAATTCTCCAATCCAGCCTGTCAAACCCAGAGGCTTATTTCGGGATTGCCAAGTCCACGAGATTCTGGTCGAGCATCGTATCCCTCAGTCTGGTAACACTTCTCCAGACATTTTCATAGGACGGTTTGTCTCGAGAATGCTTTATGGTCACCAAGTAGAAAATGTCTCTCTTACCCTTCTTCTCACACTGTAGCTCTCCTCTGACTTCTGGATTCGGTTTTCGTAATGTTTGGAGCTGGCCGTATTTCTTGTTGAATACCATAGCGATACCTCTGGACATTTGGAAATCTTCTGCCACGCAGTGAGCTAGTGCGTAATTTACTGGGGCTTTGAAGGTCTCGTGGTTCTTCTTGAGTTACCCCATGTAAGACCTTCTATCCGTTCGAGTATAAAGGCATGAACTGTTGGAACGTCATTTTATCCTCTGGTGGTCTGAGGGCGCGAACTTGGTCGTAATTTCCAGCATAAGGAGCCAATCTATTAAAATGGACGACCCTAGGCTTTCCTCGAGGTGGCTTATGGATTCGGTCATTTATCTATTTGTACAGCCAAACTAGGTCACCGGTTTCGAATCCTCCAGCATTCGCCTAGACGTCACAGACCTTCTTCATCCTGTCGCTGGCACTCCGGATGTTCAGACAGACTCGTTCATGGATGTTGTCCATTCTCTGCCAAAGCTTGGTGACATAGTCTTCCCCCGCAGTGTCTTGTTCTGGCGGCGTCCCAAATTTCAGATCGCAAGGAAGCCGCAGTTCTCGGCCCATTATAATACTGGCAGAGGTTTGGCCGGTTGACTCGTGCATTACCGAACGATAGGCGAACAGAAACAGCCGACCACCGAAGAGACTGGTCCCAGTCTCTTCGGTGGTCGGAGACTACCTTGGACAAGTGGCGGTTTATGGTCTCAATCATTTGTTCCACCATTTCATCGGACTGCCGCTCGATTCACTTTCTGAACTGCCCTCTTGGGTCGGAAAGAAGGGCTTATATCGGTAACGGTTCTTTCTACAATACTGTAGTCGGTTCGGTACTAAAATTTTACCGGCAATTCCCGACTGTATTCTTTCGCGATGATGTCATATGTTTCATACATGAGTCGGCCGGCGTACTGGTAAGGGGCGGCTTCAGATTCGTTGCAATACAACCAAAATGATGGGGTTATTGTATGTATGAAAACTGTTATAGACTCTGATGTTAAAATAACTCAATTTACAGAAACAAAATTACTTACAAAAACTATATTTTAGTAAATCATTATAATATAGGTATAACACAACCATAAGTATACCATCCACAGATGTAACAATTTTTATTGAAGAAATTAATTTCATATGGAAGAATTTAATTCAAGGAAGGATAATAAAACTCATCAATGAAATAACGAACAGGGATAAAACTAAGTTTTCAATTGAAAATATATCAATGAAAACTCAGCAAGGAATTGTGATGAATGTGGCGGATGAATTGAATCCTTTCAATAATTATTATGTTATCATAGGTGTTGAAATGTAAAAAAAAATTGGGAAAATTGATACCTCACCTGATTGTCATTCTTTGAAGGATACATCTGTGAAATGCTCTATGTTCCTGGAACAAGTATCCAAAAATGGCATTATTGAAGTCATATCAAAACTCAAAAATAACTGTTCCATAGGTCTTGATGGCATATCTACGACTCTCATGAAAATATGCATAGGCATCTCATAATACCACTGGTTCATATAATTAACCTAACTTTTCAGCACTGTGAACTTCCTCATCAGTGGAAAGAATCATTGGTCACACCTTCATACAAGGCAGGTTAACAAAATATTTTTGGCAACTGTAAACCGATCTCGGTAATAATTTCGCAAAAATTTTTGCGAAAACACTCAAGAAAAGATTACTGGATTTTTTTGAATAATATCAAGTTATAACTAACAGACAATTTGGCTTCATAGAGCTTCAAAACCGAAAGTGCAGTTCTTGACTTTGTTGAGAAAGTTATGTGAGCCTTGAAGAGATCAGAAATGTGTTTAACAATCTTTCTTGATCTCACATAGGCTTTTGACACAGTATCACATGACAAACTCTTGGAGAAATTGCATTACTGTGGTATAAGATGACCAACGCTGTTTCTGATTCAAGACAACTCGACATGAAGGATGCAAAAGTCAAACTAGATCATGAAACCAGCAGTGCCAGAGAAGTGAAAATTGGGATACCTCAAGGAACGGTACTAGGTCCAGTTCTATTCCTAATCTAGATAAATATCATTAGTTTTCTTTTCAATTTTGAAGGACACATAATTTCTCATGCCGATGACACAGCAATAGCTGTAACTGGAATTTATTAGGACAAAGTGCACGCAAATTCTGAAGAGATATGCTCTTGTCCTTTAATAGAACGGATACAAGAAATAAAATACCTGGGTGTCATGGTAGATGAACATCTAAGATGGGATGTCATGCGAATTATGTAACAAAACGTCTCAGATTGTTGTTCAGGCATTTTTCTGCTTTTAGGGAAATTCTAGACAATAAAAACCACATGATCGTCTATCACTCTTCTAGCTGAATCAATAATGACTCATTGTTTTGAAGTATTGGGTGGCACGTTCAATAATTCATTAAATCAGCTATTGACAATCCAAAATATATGTTTGAAAATCTTATGTGAAGCTTTTCAGTGTCCGATGTCTATATACTTATCATTGCCTAACCTGGATTGTTATTATTAAATATAAATTTGAGCACACACAGCCTGATGATAAAGAAACACTGTAAATTCAAAATTAATATTAGGAATTTAATTTTTGAAAATAAAACTTCAATACTCGACATTCTCAACCGATTTCTAGAGTTTTTGATTTAAGGTAAATACGAAGTAAAACCTCAATTAAATGTGCAGGATGTTTTTGATTGTCAGAAAAACAGAATAATCACAATGTACTAAATTACTGTAAATATCCATTTTGTGTGTTGAAAGAATTGAATTCCTACACACATTGAATTTATAGCGGAACATGTGTTGCATTTTTCTGAAACTTGTTTCTTGTGTTTCTTGAATAATACAATGAATTATTAATAATTTATAAATACACCTATGGCGTAAACTGAAAGATTATATGTTATTCGAATATAACCAGATAAAGAATGGAAAAAGTCAAAGTGAGACAGAAAAAATCAACAAATGACAATTGGAATAGTTTCCAGAGAAATGTCTACATGATCCTCAGATAAAAAAGAAAGGCACATTTGGTACAACTACTTTCCCTATCGATATCGAATTATGCTGGAATTCAAATCTAGATGGAATGTTCCTAAAGGAAACTGAAAATGCATTACTGAAATTGACTGAAAATCTTCATGAAGTTACTGAACGAAATAGTGAAAACTGCTCAGAATAACATGTTGATGTAAATGACTAACTACAACACTTTTCTGCTCGACGTGCATTTCACCAACGAAGTTGGGATCATCAAGAAATGGGCAGGAGATGATCAGTTCACATCATCTCCTCACATTACGTAGTGAACCATGCCCCCAGAAGCAATTTACAGTTGTGGTGTGTATAGAAAGTGTTTATATTGGATTTTACGCATGATTTTTCAATTCCATATTTCAATAGTGAATGCTCACAATTTAAAGTGAACAATATAAACATCGAACATTTTCTCAAAAAAACCCTGATCAAATGATGAAAACAGCTGAAACGATTTTAGATCAGCAAATAAAACTCAAAAATGGGTGATGAAAATATTACCTAAAAAATATAAAAAAATACTTGTGCTCCAAACAAAATCCATATCCGATATGATCTTTTAATTAATTTTATAAAAAGTTATGGCCACTTCGAAATTCAA